GAGAAATTTTATAAATTTGCAAAAAATAAAAGAATAACAAAGTCATCTAACTGCCCCTTCCCTTACACTACCAAACTCACTGTTCTGGTTTATTTATTGTCTTTACTATCCTTTTTTTTTTAAATTTTATTAATTTAAATGAACATTTACAGAGATTTTGGATTTTCATTCATTCATTGTTGCACTTTTTTCTTTACCCCCCACCCCCAGTTTGCTCCTCTCTTTGAAAAGCAAAAGATAAACTTCCTCATTGGTGATGATGTCCTTTTCAAAAGACCTGTCTCTCCTGGCCATGTGCCCAGAGTATGTGAGATGGAGCTTCAAAATTCTAGCCTCCAAAGAGAAGACTTGGTTTTACCCTCTCCAAGAGTGACCTGTCCTCCTTTTCTTCCTCCCTCCGTCTTTCTCTCCCTCCCCGGATATTCATTACACATATGGACATCTTCTCAACATTCAGTTTTATCCAAGTCATTCCGGGATTTTTCATTAGAGGGAAAAAAAAGTCTGTTACTAGCCTTAGTTCAGATCATGTCAAAAAAGTTTGTTTTAAAGGAATTTGAAAATTCCCAGCCTCCAAAAGTCATAAGTCCGTGGCTGTCTTCATCCACTGCTCCTTCAGTAGCCCCAGTAACTTTCGCATCTATTGCAGAAGAGGAGCTACAAGAAGAAGCAGCTCTTACCAGAAGTCGAGAAAGACCCTTGGCTCTGATTCAGATTGAAGAACATGCTATACAAGATTTATTGGTCTTCTATGAGGCGGCTGGCAACCCTGATGAGTTTGTCGTTGAAAGGGCACCACAGGGACCTCTGGCAGTTCCTATGTGGAATAAACAGGGATCCTAATCCACTGTGGAGTTGAGATACATTTTTCATAGTTGTGATTGTCAAAATATTAGGGGGACAATGCTATGGAAAAGAAGTGTTGCACATTTGGTAATGGGTCATGATAGATAGAATAAGAAAATCTCTAATTTCCTCACTGTAGTTTAAGAATAAAATGTTTATATGATTAAAAAAATTCTAGAGAATTGTGATTCCAGTAACTTTTCATGTAAAAATGTGTGGGAGGGAAAACATATTATACTTGATTTTAATAGAATTGTTTCTTCTGATATAATCTTTAAAGGAAAACATGAATTATTGAATTCTAAATTTTGAATGATGCATTAACCTTTTCATTTGTTTATTTAGTATAAGTAATTTAGAAGATTTCTGCCAAATACTTGTTAGCATTTCTTTTTTTATGACATTTATGAGCTAAAAGTAGGGAACTCAGTCATTACTTTTAATCTCTTAAAGGCCAGAGCCATTTGCTGCAACAGCAACTGATGAAACACTATATGATTGTAGTTTGGACTTTAAACTTTGTACATTGTACATTAAGATGTGGAGGAGAGTGGAAAGTCAACATGAATGCCAGGCAAGACAATGTAGATGAAGACAGTAGTTATCTTAAGATTATGAGACATTGTAGGCTTCTATGGTTTGTTTTCTTGATGTGAAAGGAAGTTTTTAAAAGTCTAATTGTGAGAGAACCAGTTTCTCAGTGTTAAAATTTTGAATAATATATATAGTGTGGATGAAGATTGGTTTATAGTTAGCTATATAGTATTACTTAATCAGAAGTCTGTGATTCTGGGTTATACAAATAGAAAAAAATTGCTTATTTCCCTTACATTGTTTGGTTTGGTTTTTGGTTGCTAACTTTTTAAAAACCAATAATAAGTCTGTGCTCCACCATTTAGACATATTGAAAAGGTTAATGTTTTAGGTTTTTGGAAAGCAAGTCTAGGGTGATTGATCTGCATTTCACTGCTATAATTTAATTGATGGAAATATGGCTGAAGGTAATGTAATACTTCCGGTTTAGCTCTACTCAGAAGCAGAACATATGTAAGTAAATGTGCAATAAAAAGTCATTTTAACTCATTTCTCTAAAAAAAAAAAAAGAGTGACCTCTTTGTTTTGTTGGCAGTCTATGGTAGGCCCAAGACTCTTCTCCAGCACAACTCGAAGGCATCAATTCTTCTATCATCCTTAGTCACTGTCCAGTTCTCTGATGCATAACATGTAATTGTGAAGACCATGGCCTGGATCAGGTGCACCTTAGTCTCTAGACTGACATAATTGCTTCTCAGTACTCTGGAGAGGTCCCTGACAGATTTAACTAATGCAATTCATCTTTTGATTTCCTGACTTCTAGGGCCAAAACTGTTGATTGTGAAGCCAACCAAGCTGTAACTTTAACAACCTCAATCTCTTCTCCATCTATCATGGTGCTGCCAATTGGCCCAGTGGTGAGAAGCTTTGTTTTTTTGATGTTGATCTTCAATCCATATTGAAGACTGCAGTCCTTGACCTTCTGCAGCAAGCATTGCAGGTCTTTTTCAGTTTTAGCAAGCAAGGTTGTTATTATTTGCGTAACACAGGTTGTTGATGAGTCATTCTCCAATACTGATGCCACATTCCTTCTCATAAAAGCCTGTTTCCCAAATGATCTGTTCTGCATACAGATTGAAAAGGTATGGAGACAAGATGAATCCCTGACACACTTCTTTCCTGATTTTGAACCATGCAGTGTTTCCCTGCTCTATTCTGAAGACTGCTTCCTGGTCCAAGTAGAGAGGTCACATAAGCACAATCAGGTGTTCTGGGATTGGGATTCCCATTTTCCTCAAGGTTAGCCACAATTTATTGTGGTCCACACAGTCAACTGTCTTTGCATAGTCAATGAAACACAGACATTCCTCTGGTACCCTTTGCTTTCTGCCAAGATCCATCTGAAACTGGCAATATCTCTAGTACCACTCTGGTAATTCTCTGTCAATGTACTGTTCCAGTCATTTCTGAATAATCTTCAGCAGGATTTTGCTAGGGTATGATATTAGTCATATTGTTTGATAATTTCCACACTCTGTCTGGTCACCATTTTTTTTTTAATGGGAATATATACGGATCTTTTCCAATCAGTTGCCCAAGTAGTTGTCCTCCAGATTTCTTGGTACAACTTGGAAAGCATATCCAGGGCAGTATCTGCTTGTTGAAATATGTCAATTGGTATTCCATAAATTCCTGGGGCTTTATTTTTTACCAAGTCTATCAAAGCAGTCTGAACTTCCTTCTTCATTACCACTGCCCCTTAATTATATGTTGTTTCTGGAAATTCTTCTGTGTCAGCCAATTCTTTTTGGTACAGTGACTGAGTACTCCTTCCAACTTCTTTTAATGCTTCCTAAATCATTCAATATTCTGCCCAAATTCATTTTTCAAGAAGACTGATAAGGAAACTGTCAAGTTTCTTTGGAGTGGAAAGAGATCTTGAATAAGCAAAGCACTTCTGAAAAACAAAAATGAAGTGGGAAGCATAGCACTCCCTGACTTCAAAATCTACTACAAAGCAGTGGTAACCAAAACAGCATAGTACTGGTACAATGATAGACACACAGACCAATGGATCAGAATTGAAAACCCAAATATGGATCCATCTATCTATGGTCAACTGATATTTGACAAGGAAATAAAACCTATTACATAGGGAAATGACAACCTGTTCAAAAAATTATGCTGGCAAAATCAGACTACTTATCTGAAACAAGCTAAAACAAGAACCACATCTCACAGCCTACACAATAATCAACTCAAGGTGGATCAGAGACCTGGGACCAAAGCCCCAAACCACAAAGTTCATTAGAGATAAACTGGGATCAATCCTAGATGCCCTAGTCTATGGTTAAAGAGAGTGACAAATACACCCCGAAATGTACAAGCTGGAGAGAGTAAAATTGATGAATGAGACCTTCTAAAGATTAAATTCCTGTACACATCAAAAACATTTTCTAACAGAGTGAAAAGAAAACCTACTGATTGGGAAAAAAACATTTGGTAATACCATTTTAGAAAAGGGTCTCATAAAAAAATTTACAAATCCTATAGGGCCTCCAAAAAAAGATGGATAACCCAATTACAAAATGGGCAAAAGACATGGAAAGATTCCCCAAAGAGGAAGATAATCAGATGGCCAACAGACACATGAAGTAATTCTCACAATCACGAGCAATAAGAGAGATGCAAATCAAAACCACAATGAGATACCATCTCACCCCAACAGCAGTGGTGAAGTTTCACAGGAAAGCAAAAAATAAATGTTGGAGATGATGTGGAGAGATAGGATCATTTATACACTATTTGTGGAATTGTAAAATTATGCAACCATTCTGGAAGGCAGTTTGGGATTTCCTCAAAAAGCCAAACATTTAAATTCCATATGATCCAGCTATTCCACCGCATGAAATATACCCCGAGAAATCATAGTAGCATTATTCGCCACTGCAAGAACAAGGAAACAGCCCACATGTCCAACCACAATGGAATAATTTGAGAAATTTTGGTACATTCACAAAATTGAATACTATGCAGCATGCAGGAGCAATGATTTTGAAAATTACTACCTAACTTGGGAGCAACTGGACAGTATTAAGCTGAGTTAACTTAGACTCATAAGGACAAATACTGTACAAGACCATTATTGTAGAAACAGAGAACTAGTAAAATGTAATGAGACTCTAAGGGAGGAAGGATGGGAGCAGAGAGGAGGGAATGGGCAGGAGGGGTGGGCAATCATAGGGTCACAGTTTGATGTGTGGAGGGAGGGGTGGGTAAAGGAAAGGGGAAAGATCCAGTGTAAAAAACAATGTATAGGAACTTTCTAAGTAAACAAGTAATATTTAATAAAAAAGTTATCTTACATTTGTGTTCTAATCTTGCAAAAGTAAAGAACTTTTATTTCCACTACTAAAGATGAATAATATAGAATTTATGTAAAAGGTTAACCACTTTTTTAATTTTTGAAATGAACCTAATTTTAGCTGTCAAATACATGTATTTGTTACAAGCTGGTTAGTCTCTACTCTCTTCAAATCTCAGATATACAGGGGTTTTTTTAATAAATATTTTTGTTTCAAAAATTTAAAAATGTAAAAAATATAAAATGTGGACATTACCTTGTTTACCAATAACTGAGTAAGAGGCCAAAAATCCTCGTCCAGAAGCATGTGTGCCACTCATGAACAGCACTGTAATTTCATTGCTCTTTGATTCAATTGAATGGTTCATTTGCAATCCCAGACCACAGTATTTGCCTAGAAATGAAAGATAAACAGATATCTGATACAACTATCTTGAACTCTATAATTAGAATTTCAAATTGAGTATGAAATGATGACTAAGATTAGAAAATTAGTAACAATTAAAAAGCAGATTACTTTGGAGAAAAAATATATTAAATGTCAGGTAATAGCTATACAAATAACAAAAAAAGAAAAACAAACAAAAACCAAAAAAATCTAGTTAAGAAAATTTAACTTGCTGTGAAAGCCATGTATTCTTTAAAACAATGAGTTTTAACAAAATTGATTTAGAAAGCATTTCTAGGAAGCAGGTGACTCACAAATAAATTGACAGACAATCAGTTCTTTCTAGTATACTCCTCACTAGGATCTCCTAGATTATAGACTTCAGGAATTTCTTTCTCAGGATTGCAGGGCTCTGGGTCAACTCTTTCAGGTGTCTCTGTCCCATAACATGGTTTTAACTATGATCTGACAATTCACAAACATACGTTATTAATAAGGGTTTTTCACTGAACTTTAGATGTGTATAGCAATTACCTATTGCATTTTTGTTCTTTACTTTCTATTCAAAACCAACCCTGATGCTACTCAATCAATGCCACCTCATTGTGATCCTACAGACGAGCAGAGCCAGCCCACAGTTTCCAAGGCTGTAACTGTGTACAGGATCAGACTGTCAAATTTCTCTACTGAAGAGCAGCTGATGGGTTCCAAATGCTAACTTCTTGGTTGCTAGCTAAGTACTTAATCACTGCACAAGCAGGGCTTCTTAGTGTTGACAAGCTTAAGTCTAACATATTCTGTTACATATATAAATTTACCAGGATAAAAGGGGGGGAAAATGAACTAGAGTAAGATGATCAAAAATACATAATCTAAGTGGATCTTCTCATGTACTGAAAACTTGTCTAATAAGTCCTGAATAGAGAATTTCAGAAATACATTAAGCTGCATTGGCAGCATTATTTGTATCTTATTGTAGACTCCCAAGGGATATAATGTTTAAAGATAATATTTTATTTTCTAGGTAAAAATCTCAAGACATTATAAAAAAAACCTAGTAGAACTGGTAAGAGAACTGACATATATGAAGTATAAACAATCATCAAAGGAATAAAGAAATGAAGAAAACCACACAAAATAGCACAGAAAATTAATATACTTTTGGATAAATTTTTAAAAATAAATAAACAGCCAGTACACTGGGAAAATATAGAATACTGAGTAGAAAAATCAAAGAAATAAATAATTAGTCAATAAACAATGTTCATGGACTGGAATACACATTATTGCTAACATGCCTGTTGTCCTAACAAATTAATATTGGTTAGATTCAATCAATTCCCATAAAAATCTTAGAGAAATGAACAAGTAGCAGCCTGACAAACTGAGCATAAAATCTATTAAGAAATGCAAATGACACAGCACTGTCAAAACAATTTAAGGAAGTTAGACATATGATTTTGAAATTACTTTATAAAGCTACAATAATCAAGACACTGTAATGTTGTATCTGTATAAAATATGCACTCATGCATATACACATATGTAAAGAAATATACAAATGACTCAAGAGGGAGCTCTGGTGACTTCGTGGTAAGGAGCTGTACTGCCAAACCCAATGGCTCAGATTCACCAGCTGCAATGCCAGAGAAAGATGACTTCTCTGCAAATGTGTGGGAGGGTCAACTATGAGTCAGTTTGGTCTTGAAGATGCATAACAACAACAGTATTACTCAATGAAGCAGAACACAGTTCAGAAACAAATCCATAAATATTCGTGTGTGTATATGTATATACGTGTGTGTGTGTGTCTGTGTGTGTGTGCGCCCGTGTGCGCGTATACTCAAAATGATTTTGACAAAGACCTCACAATAACTATAAAAAATGTTTATTGTTATTTGGTGACATTTCAAATCACAAGGTCACTGTGTCTCAGAGTACAACAGAAAAAAATAGTGCTATCGGTCCTGTACCATTTTCACAAGTACTGCTGTGTTTTAGCAAACATCATGCCAATCCATTTCATTGAGTCTTCCTCTTTTTCACTGATTCTCTACTTAACCAAGCATGATGTCTTTTTTCTTTTTAGAGATTGGCCCCTACCAATAACATGCTCCAAGTATAGTCTCGCCATTTCACCAATGGAGTCTCAGCTTGTAAAGAAGCTATAGTTTTCTACTTTACCACGTATTTAAAAATTAAGTAGAAATGTATCAAAGACTCAAATGTAAGAGCAAACATTAGAAACTTCTTAGAATATAGGACAAATGATTTTGAGTTTAGGTTTGGTGGAGATTTCTGTGGTATCACACCAAAATCCATTAAAGACAAAACCCAAAGAATCTAGATTTCACTAAATTTTTTTCTTCAAAAGGAAAAGACATGCTAGAGACTGAATTTGTTATCATTTGTCAAGTATGTAAAGAACTCATGCATAATAAGGCACTGAATCTAATGTTCAAAAGGAACAGAGGGATTCACCAAAGAAGATACAATAATGGTAAATAAGTATCAGGAACAGAAGCTGAAAAAGCATTAGTTATTAGAAAAATGAAAGTTCAAACTGAGATTGCATTGCACACCCACTGAAATGGCTATTATCAAAAAGACATTTTGGTAAGGATGTGGAGAAGCTGGACATCGCAAATACTGATGGTGCAAATGTAAAACAGCACAGCCATTTTAGAAAAAGTTTAAGTAGTTTTGCAGAAGTTAAACATAAATATTTATTTATTTATCAATCCACTTATCCAGGGTCTTCCTCTTCTGTGTTGTTCCTACAACCAAGCATGATGTCCTTCAAGGACTGGTCCTTTCCACATGTCCAAAGTATGTGAGACAGAGCCTCAAAATCCTTGAGGGTAGGTGTGTTGGAGATGGTGAGATTAGACCAAGATAAAGCAGGGTTCAGAGCTATTGTGCAGGCGAAGTCACAGCATCTAACAATAATATAAATTTAACATGTTGTTGCTATTTAGTGCCCTTAAGACACCTTCAATTCATAGTGACCCTATGCAAAACTTACCAAAGTCCTACCAAGTGCATACCCCATGCACAACATAACAAAACAATCTACCAGTGGACCTGAGTCACTCTCACAATATTCATTGTTTTTGTACACTTTAAAAAAATTAGTTTAAATTTTCCAATTCCATATAGGAGCAGAGTTGTGATGGTATTAGAAATACTGTACCTCATCTTAATCTTTTTACTATTGTTCAGTTTATTAAATCATGAAGGATCACTACCTTAACTTCCACTGTACATCATTAATACAGTTTTTTTGGGTTGTTGTTGTAGTGGTTCATCAAGTCAGAATCAACTCAAAGCTGACCCTCTAGCAAACTTTCAGAGGTTGTATATCACACAGGAGGAGAATGTCCATCTTTCTCCCATGGAATACCTGGCAGATGTGAACCATGTGCCTTTGGGATGGCAGCTCAACTCCTTATAGAGCTCCCTTGTTTTTTTAGGGGGGGTGATACAATTCAAACCATGACAATCAATTACTTTCCTAGTAAAAGAAAAAAATCAACAGTGATAAAAAGATGATTAGTGGTAGCCTAAGGCTTAGAACTGGAATGAGAATCAACTCAATCTAACTGTCCACCAACTTAGTCAATGGATAAACAGTGTTTATATGCAAAGGAATTTTTGGTATGACTGCAATTTCTAGCACCAGATCTTACTGATAGTTTCACATTGTATAAATGTACTACTATACATCTTAAAATAACTGTAAAGTTAAAACAGGTGAGGCTGATAGCATGTGGATTATGAGCCAATAATACTGTGAAAATAAAATTTTAACAAAAATTATCATGAAAGATCATAAGTGATATTGATTTCATTTTCACTATTCTGCGCAAAGAAATAATGGATTCAGAATCAGATATTATTGGAGCTAAAAGAGACTTTTAGGAACACCAATGAAGCAACTTAATTGACAGTTAAAATAAATTCTGGCTCTCTCGGGCCCTTGCTCCCAAGATGACAAAGAAAAGGAGAAAAACATTGGTTGTGTCACAAAGGGCCGCAGCCACATGAGGCCTATTCGCTGCGTGAACTGCTCCTGCTGTGTGTCCAAAGACAAGGCAATTAAGAAGTTCAGCTGGACAATGACTAGGGATGACAGAAAGATTAACTTACGCCTTTTGAGCTGTGATGCTGGAGAAGAGTACTGAATATACATACCATGGACTGCCACGAGAACAAACAGGGTTATCCTAGAGAGAGTGAGACCAGGCTACTCCTTGGAGGCAAGGATTCTGCAGCTTCGTCTGACATACTTTGGACATTATGCAAGGAGGGACCAGTCCTTGGAGAGGGATATCGTGCTTGGGAGGGTGGAGGGACAGTGCAAGAGAGGAAGACCCTCTATGAGGTGGATTGATTCAGTGACTGGGGTAATGAGGGTAGGTGTTTCAGAGACAATAAGGTTGGCACAGGATAGAGCAGGTTTTAGGACTGTTGTACATAGGGTCACTATGAGTGGCAAGAGACTCAATGGCACCTAACAACAAACAATTCGAAATACAGTAGAGGAAGCTGCCATCAGAGACATTTCCACAGCAAGTACCTTTGATGCTTATGTGCTTCTAAAGCTCTATATGAAACTGCACTATTGTGTGAGCTGTACCATTCACAGCAAGGCGGTTAGTAACTGTTCCCATGAAGCCTGGCAGGACAGAACACCTCTACCGAGATTTAGACCTGCAGGTACTGCCCCATAACCACCACCAAACCACATGTAAGGATTTGATTCCTTATAGCAGAAGAAAAAATTCATCTGAAAATAAAATGGAAATTATACTTAAAAAAAAACACAGAAACAAAACAACCCTGAATATTATGTAGATAAGTGGGTTGCCAAAAATAATAACACAAATTTGAGGTGAAATCAACATAAAACATAGGTCCTTTATCTTGCCTGGTGCTGTTCCCCTTCTGGACATCACTCAAAAGTCATGTAGTTAATGATGCTTTCTATGCAAACAGAAATATTT